AAATACAGGCAGACCGTAATAATCAGATTCTTCCTCCTCTGTTGCTTCTTCAGTGTCTTCATTGTCAAATACATGCGGACATTCATAATCAAACTCTTCCGCCGATGATTTTTTGATATGTTGTTGGTGGTTCTATTGGTGATAGTGTAGGCAGCGATTGTTCTGTTGTTAGTGGTGCATGTGGTCGTAGTAAGGTAGTGTGCGTTTGATTCTTGAAGGTGTTGGGAGTGGTTATGGTGTCGGCAATCGAGTGTGACCGAGTCTATCTTTATTACGATTGTTTGTGACCAGATGTATGTTTAATTGTGACTGTATGTGACTTGGTTACATACAGTCACAAATTATACTGATTTGGTCACAGACAGCCCGTTGAAAAAATGATTACAGTTAGTCACGGATAACACAAGTCAATGAAAATAGTGCCAATGGTTGTGAATTTTAGTTGAAAGTGGTGGTGGTGGTGGTGCATTAGAGGTGGTGATGGAGGTGATTGGTGGTAGATTTTGGTAGTGGTTTGCGGTGTGTGTAGATTTGTTTGTGGTGACTCTCTGAGACCAAGCATGTGTTTATTGTGACTCGTTGTGATCAATTCTGCCTTCATTATTACCGTTTGTGACCAGATTAACGGTGAGTCACAAATTAGACTAATTTAGTCACAGACAGTCACACTGAATACAAATTCAGTCATAATTAATCACAGATAACACATGTCAGTGACTTAGTTATACACAGTCACAAATTATATTGACTTGGTCACATACGATATGGTCACAGTTAGTCACAAATCTCTTCAACTACAATGCAATACTGCCGCCACACAGTAATCAAAACGTTGCTACCACCCCATTCCATTAAACAGATCAACTCCGATGCACTTCTATCACCTGCAATACACCATAACCGCCACCACACAAATCTATTTTCTAAACACAATGCCACCACCACCACTCGAGCTCGTTTGGTAAAGATTAAAATTCAATTAAAATTGAAAAGATAGCCGTTATTAGGTCTCGCTCGTCTAATAAAAGTTAACAATAACGACTAATTTTTCAATTTTAATCTCTACCGAACACGCCCACAAAATTATTTGTGTCAACAAACATTTTTAATTTTTGGAGTTTTTTACAGTGAAGTAGGGTGGGGTGTAGAGATATTTGAATTCCTGGAGGTCTCTGCGGTGGGTGGTGTCCATGGGGCGGATATTAGAATATCATACGTCAATTGATAAAGTATGCCAATAAAAATAAATAAAAAAATATATATATATATATAGACACACACACACACACACACACACTTGAATAAAGATGCGTGTGTGCGCACCAAGAACTAAAACACAGAAGAGCCCCNTATTATATTATAATTATATATTTAATAATTTGATTTACCACTTGATTTATGAAATATTTTCGTGAGTTTTGAAATGTGATTTTTATATGTAGGACAGTAGGAGTTATGTATCATTCCCGAGAGTAAAATTCAAGAAAAATATCCATGAAATTACAAGGCCCTATTATCTTAGCCCAGCTTTTCAGTGACTCCTAGCCCCCAATCAATGGGGTCATTTCTGGCAGCCAAACTGTTGTTTCTCCAAGCTCCATCAGCAAAGGAGAACATAGAAGTCCGACAAACCGAAGCCTCTTTTATCCAATTCTCGTATTGGAAACTCAACGGCTAAGAATAGTATTAAAGAAGAAATGAGTTAAAATCTTGTCTGACCAATTTTATCCAATATTTCGTACGAAATATGTTCCATCTTCTGTGTTCTTCCATCTGTATCTATCTACTAGAGTGCACCTTGAGACCAGAGAAAAAGAAAAGGCAAGTCGAAATTCCCATTATAAAATTATGGACACTTTATATTGTTGGCATGACTAGTTAAATTACATTTTTCAGGTCACATACAGACAAGTAAAAGATCTAAACGTGAAGTAAATAAAGAATTTACACTCAGATCACAGCCTTGTTACCTTGTATAGATGGCTTCCATTATCTCCGTGCAATCGAGGCTAGGAAAACTATTCTTTGTCACTTCACCCTTTCTCGGTTTGTCTATTCGATCAAACCTTAGCAGAGACAACAGGGAAAAGAGACGAGGAGTAAGAATTACATATATAGCAATCACAAGATGCATGCATCATTAATCAAACACTTGGCATACCTCAGGCGGAACTTTTGATGATGCATCCATATTAGCTTCAGCAGTTACATCAGAGATGCGGGCTTCTGATTTCTCGTTTGAATAACTGCCAAATTAAATTCCAAAAGAAATTAGAATTCTCGTTCTACCACATTGGGTTAGTCACCGGATCCCTAATTTCTCCAGTTCACGCATTGGGGAAAAAGAATTAATTCCTTAAATGCATAGTTCATGTTTGGTACACAGTATTTAGGGGCGTAGGGAGGGGGGAGGCGCACAGCCCCTGCTCCCCAAGCCCATTTACTCTTCAGTGTAAAATATATATATATATTATTTGGAATTTTTTTTTGCTGTGTATCAGCCCAATAGAATTTTTTTTTTGCCCCTCCAGGCTCCGCACCTGACGGTATTAATGACTTATTTTTCTTCGCCTAACATTGTCTAATCCACCTACCCAAACATGCCGAAATGTGCAGCCTAACATAACTGGAAATACAAGCTCACTTAAGACATCATGCTTACGTCGATAGTATTGTCACCCAAATGAGCTCCACGCAGTCGACCCAAAGAAGCCTTTGTTCAACAGGGATCACACCGTAGGTAATGAGATGAGCAAAAGGCCAAAGCTTCCAACCCGCCTGAAAAACAAGCCAATGTTCAATAAC